ACCAGAGCCCCGAGGCCGCAGCCATCACTTCCGCCTTCCCCATGTTGCCTGAGCACTCAGCGCGGCTGAGTGGGAGAGCGAAGGAGCAGCGCCGCCTCTTTCCTTGGGCGGTCAGAGGGCGGAGGGCAGGGTTCAGGCAGGCGGGTCTTCTTGCTTCCCTTTGTCGGCCGGGACGGAGTCCTTCGCCTCGCCTCGGCCCTGCCCTGCCCGCCGGCAGCCGCATTGGGTTGCTGGCTGGCCTTGGTGGGTGACGCCCAAGGAAAGGGCGACGGGAGGAAGACCGAGCATGCCTTGAAAAGCACTCTAGCCGCGGCTGAGGCAAAGCAGCAGGGATTGAGGAGCGTAGCGATGCCGGGAGCCTCTACCTTCGTAGGAAAACAACGAAGCATCCTTAAAGACCATGGGCGATTTGTGTCCGAAGCAGGCGCAGCCCAACCACAAAAAACTGGGGCCACAATCCTACCTTTCTTTTAATAGCAAATTTAATTTGGAATGTGCTGGGGGCGGGGTTGCAGCCCATGTCCGCCTGATGCCCCGTGAGGGCTTATTCGAAATTAAATTCTCTGGCCCTTCAGGATGCCTCAAGACCTTTCCTTGTTTTTACTGCAACAGAGTAACGCTGCTTCTTCCACAGAAGTGCAGTGCTTTGCTGGTGAACCGTTCAAAGCAGTGCTCTAGGGCTGAACGTACTGTATAAAGTTCTCTCTTAGAGGTTTCTGTGGTTTGACTTGAGTCGTCACCTGGAAAAGCGGTTTGGGCGTTGTATCCTGTTGAGCAATGAATAAATTAAATAAGACCTACCCTGTTTCTCCGAAAATGAGACTTAACCTGAAAATGCGCCCTAGTATGATTTTTCCAGATGTTCATAATATAAGCCCTACCCCTAAAATAAGCCCTAGTTAAGTGAAACCCTGCCCTCCACCATTGTGCAGCAACCAGAAGAAGATGACATGATGGCATTTGAATAAATGTAGATGAAAAAAAAATAAAACATCCCCTGAAAATTAGCCCTAATGTGCTTTTTGGAGCAAAAATTAATATAAAACCCTGTTCTTATTTTGGGGAAAACACAGTATTAGTTGGGCCAGGCACATAAAGGTGGGTGTGTGGTTGACTGATCAGTCGAATATAGGTATGACTCGCCTTTCTACTTCACAGAGAACCTAAGTGCCCAAGAAACTGGTAGGAGCTCAGGGGATAAAAGATAAATAACTTAGATAGTGCAACCTGAGAAATGAACAATGAGACAGAAACCTGGGAAATCCATGGCATAACATTCAGCGATTCAGAGGAAAGTAAAAAGCTGTGAAATAAAAGACTACAGAAATAGAGGAACTGTGTCAAAGAGACTGATGGTAGAACAATCATCCCACAACTTAAATAACAATTCGCACTGAAGTGTGATGTGGGTGTAGCCAAAAAACCCAATTCCATAAACAGAAATCTGAGTAAATACAGAAATCTATGAAGTTCATTGATGGCATTGCTTTATACAGTATATTCCTTTCCTTCCTAAGTAAATCAGTGACTTAGAAATGCAGCTGAGCTTCTAAGACATGCTACATTGTTACTGTGTATTAGGGATTTTTGTTACATTGTGTTATAGGCTTTTAATAGAAATGAATGTGCTGCTATGAAAGTGCACCTGCTCCCAGAAGAAGGGAATGCTAAACCACTTCTAAATACAGGATTATGTATAACTAGAAAAACTTTGAAAGGGTCGCTGTAACTCCAAATTGATTTATCAACACTTAAATATTTAATTGAGAGATAGTGGATAGTATAATCTAAATTTCTTAAAATTGGGATTTTGTTCCAGCCTATTTGAAGGAGTACAGCCCTTATGTGTTTAATCTAATTGTGTTTTAATATTTACTTATGGTTTAGTATTATGTCTTACTGGCCAAAATCCTTTTGCACAACTTTACATCATGCAAGTCAGATGATGTCATCATCTGGTGATGAGAATATTTAATTTAAATTAACTGAAAACTTCCTATCCCCATTTTCAGTTTCTGAGGATTCCTAGGGCTCTCTTTTACCCTGGGAAAACCTTTGGAAGCCTTAAGACACAATTTTTCATAACCAAAATTGCAACATGCTCTACATGGGGCTGCCATTGGAAAATATTCGAAAACTCCAGAGGGTCCAAAACGCAGCAGCCAGATTATTCATTTCTTACAGATATCATGTGAACCTCACCCACCCTCCATTACAGCAGCTCTACTGGCTGCCAATTCATTTCCAGGCACAATTCCATTGCTGAGCTTAACCTATAAAGCCCTAAACTGCTTGGGTCCACACTACCTAAAAGACCACATCTTCCATGATGAGCCTGCCCAGGCTTTAAGATTATCAGGTGAGCTAGTATTTCTTTTCATCCCACCATCCTCGCAGGGGCATTTGGTGGGGGACACAGGAGAGAGCCTTCTTTATTGCTGTTTCCTACGCTCTAGAATTCCTACAGGAAGCTAGGCTGGCACTATCTTTGTTGTCCTTCTGCAAGAAAACAAGGACCTTCTCTTCAGGCAGGCTTTTCCTTAATGACTGGTTGTCCATGAGGATTTTTTTTAATGAATTGTTGTGCTCTTGTTTGAAATGTGTTTTATTATTCAGTTTACTGCCATTTTAATGTAATATTTGTTTAATTCTTTTTAAATATTTGTATACCTACTGTTTCTAGCTTTTAAATATTGTCTTTTTAATGCGGTAAGCAGTCTTGGGTTCTTTTTAAGGAGAAAGGCAGAATAAAATATTTTAAACAAACAAACAAACAAATAAAAATGCTGTTGGATCACCATCCATTAGGAAGAATGGTGACGATTTCACAGTGATTTTTGATTCCCAATAGTAAGTAACGTGAGAAGGATTCCAGTCTATGTATTTATTTTATTTTATTTTAATTAGTATCGTGCATTTGGCATAAAAGACCACTCTGGGTAGTTTACAACAGTTATAATGTTATATGTATGTTTTTAAAAAAATCTTGTTGTACCTTGTTTCCCAGTTTTGAGAGAAAGGTGATTATAAATCAGATAAGTACATCAGCAGTGGGAGTACATTTTCTGAAGCTGGATGAGAATTCTGTGGCAGCTGATAATGCAGAATGTAACATTAAAGGATGTTCGTTTATGTCAGAGTGTAGAGGGACTGGGATATTGTACAGAGAATAGGAATATCACCTGAGCAAAATAGGTTTGTAAGAAGTATCATTTAGCTGAAAGATCATAATTTTCCATATTTGTTCCAGAAGCCTGGAGCTCATTATGATTTTCAAAGGCACTCTGGTTTTATACAAGAGGGCAGTCCTTGGCACATAAGAGGTGCTCCAGCTGACACTGAAACCTTGCAATTGGAGATATCCAATAACCTCAATGTGAATTGGTGTCTCCTCCCTCAGTACGGGCATAATCAAAAGACATAGGGCTATATTCAAGCCATCTGTTAATCTGTTTAAGCCAGCAAGGGATCAATGTAGTTTACAGTACATAAAAATAAGTGCATTTCCAACTGTGTGTATGTATATGTGTGCAGATGTTTGTATCTAAATATGTGTGTGTGTTTAGTCGTTTAGTCGTGTCCGACTCTTCGTGACCCCATGGACCAGAGCACGCCAGGCCCTCCTGTCTTCTACTGCCTCCCGGAGTTGTGTCAGGTTCATGTTGGTTGCTTCGCAGACACTGTCCAGCCATCTCATCCTTGGTCGTCCCCTTCTCCTCTTGCCATCACACCTTCCTAACATCAAGGTTTTTTCCAAGGCCTCTTTTCTTCTCATGAGATGGCCAAAGTACTGGAGCCTCAGCTTCAGGATCTGTCCTTCAAGTGAGCATTCAGGGTTGATTTCCTTTAGAACTGATAGGTTTGTTTTCCTTGCAGTCCAGGGGATTCTCAAGAGCCTCCTCCAGCACCACAATTCAAAGGCATCAATTCTTCGGCGGTCAGGTTTCTTTATGGTCCAGCTCTCACTTCCATACATCACGACAGGAAAAACCATAGCTTTGACTATTCGGACTTTTGTTGGCAAGGTGATGTCTCTGCTTTTCAAGATGCTGTCAAGATTTGTCATCGCTTTCCTCCCAAGAAGAAGGCGCCTTTTAATTTCAGGGCTGCTGTCTCCATCTGAAGTAATCATGGAGCCCAGGAAGATAAAATTTGACACTGCCTAAATATATCTAAAATCTATCTAAATATAGATTTTATTTATGCCTTTTAGTAAGAGTAACTTCTTATTAACAAGATCATTATTTTTCCATTCAAACAATTTAATTTTGGTGGTGGTGGTGGAGAAATACTGTTTTTTTATCCAACTAGAGCAGGCTTGCCCAACCTGCAGCCCGTGGGCCGCATGTGGCCCAGGTCGGCTTGTAATGCGGCCCAGTGCAATTTTTTATTTTTTAAGAAATTCCAAATTCTCAAGTTACGCTGCAAGCACTTGCGGCCAGAATGCGGCTGGGGCACGTCACACGATAGGGGGGAAGAGAGGGAAGGAAGGAAGGAAGGAGAAGGAGGGGAGGGGAGAGGGGGCTGGGTGACTGCATTGCGCCATCCCTGTCAATAGGTGGACCCCTCCCGGGCTCATAAAGCCACCAGAGTTGAAGCTGGCAGCCTCTGCTGTCTGAGATTGCAGCTGCCGGTAAGCGCGCTTGGAGCGGGGCTGCGGAGAACGGCTAGGGCTGCCCCCCATGCGGCCCAAACCAAATTTATGTGCGGCCCAAACCAAATTTTCATCTTCTAATGTGGCCCAGGGAAAGTGAAAGGTTGGACACCCCTGAACTAGAGTTTATGATTTGAAGATTGCTTGTTTGTCATCTTAAAGAGGAAACTATATGTGAGGACAACTGCAATTGCATCTGTTGAATAATTATCCTGTGCAGATATAGGTGATATACTAGGACTTAACTGTCCTAGTTCTGTGTAAAACCATAATCTGACTCTGCAGGATGCCAGGCATGCATATAAC